TTGCCAATGTACATACAGCCAGTATCAGACCCAACAGAGGCCCCTGTGTTTCCTGACACTAAATTCAGCCTTCTTCCTACCACACCATACTTCTTAAAGGAATCATGCTGTGGATAAACCCTCTGAGCCCCCTTTTTATGCTATGCAACCATACTTTAGAAATCTGTCAGAATTACCAGACCCCTGTTTGTTGGGAATATCTTTAAAAGAATTCATTCTTTGGGCATAAGGCAAGACTTGGTTGTTCTTCCCAATGTTGAGATTCTGTGATTTGGTGAGTTATAGAATTATTGAGTGTGAGAGATCATTTAACCCAAATTTCCTTCCCCTTCTCCCTCCCTCAGTGCTGAAAGCACGATACAGAGATCAGTACACTGCGTTTGGAGCTAGGGAGACTTGGGTCCAATCTCGTGTCATGTTCATGCTAGCTTTGTGACCCTAGGCAAGTCATTCGATTTCTTCATGCAGTTTTCTTATCCATAAAATGAGAGAGTTGGACTCAATGTCCTGCCCTTCAGCTCTCTATATGATACCTTTCAACCCACACATCAGGAAAATGCTATAGGTGTGATATATCTGGGTTTCAGCAAGTATTTGACAGAGTCTGTTATGATAGCCGCACAAACAAGATAGAGAAATGGGGCCTGTCAGGTAGTGCAATTATGTTGATACAGAGCTGGTTGAAGAGCTAGATCCAAAGCGTTGATTACTGTATGTTGACCTAGAAGAAAAGGTTCCATGGTGAGTCACAGGGATCTGTCCTCAGACTCACTGTGGTCTATATTTTCCTCATGGCTTGGATGGAGACATAGACTGCATCCTTATCAAATTTTCAGATGGCATGAAACTAGCTGTCAAGGATATTTCACATGCTGGATGACAGAATTAGGATCCAAAAGAATCTCAACCAGCTGAAGGAATGGGTGACACCATGTAAGATAACATTTAATAGGGATAAAGGTAAAGATTTTTATTTAGGTTTAGAAATCAGTTACACAAGTATAGAGTGAGAGAGCTATTACTTGATGCTAATTCCTGTAAAAAAAATATCAAGGGGTTTTGGCAGACTGCAAGTTTATCCAGAGTCAATATTATGACATTTTGTTGTCATTGTTTAGTTGTTTTTTTAGTCAAATCCAACTCTTCGTGAACGCATTTGGGGTTTTCTTGGCAAAGATACTGGAGTGGTTAGCCATTTCCTTCTCCAGCTCATTTTACAGATGAGGAAACTGAGGCAAGCAGGGTTAAGTGAGTTGCCCAGGGTCACACAACTAGTAAGTATCTGAGGCCAGATTTGAACTCAGATCCTCTTGAATCCAGGGCTAGCGCTTTTCCCACTGTGCCACCTAGCTGCCCCTAGGGAGCTGTTACTTGATATTAATTCCTTCTGGGGGAAAAAATGAAGGGGTTCTGGAAGAATGCAAGTTGGCTGCCCCCCAAAACCTAATCTGATCTTAGGCTATATCTTAGTCAGTCAACAAATAAGTGCCTACTATGTGCTAGGCACTGTGCTAAGCTTTGGGGATACAAAGAAAGGCAGAAGACAATCCCTACCTTCAAGGAGCTCACAATCTGATAGAGAAAGACAACACATAAAAAAAAAGCCGAGGCCAAATAGGAGATACAAAACATTATGAAATGCAAAATGGATTATTTTGATTGCATTAAATTGAAACGTTTTTGCACAAAGTCAATGCAACCAAGATTAGGAGAGAAGCAGAAAACTGAGAAAGAATTTTTACAACCAGTGTCTCTGATAAGGGCCTCATTTCTAAAATACATAGAGAACTAAGTCAAATGTATAATAATACAAGACATTCCCCAATTGATAAATGGTCACAGGATGTGAACAGGCAGTTCTCAGAGGAAGAAATTAAAGCCATCTATAGTCATATGAAAAAATGCTTTAAATCACTATTGGTTAAAGAAATGCAAATCACAACAACTCTGAGGTACCACATCACACCTATCAGATTGGTCAGTATGATAAAACAGGAAAATGATGAATGTTGGAGAAGATGGGGGAAAATTGGAACTCTAATGCATTGTTGGTGAGTTGTGAACTGATCCAACCATTCTGGAGAGCAATTTGAAACTATGCCCAAAGGGCTATAATAATGTGCATACCCTTTGACCCAGCAATAGCACCTCTAGGGCTGTAGCCCAAAGAGATCATAAAAACGGGAAAAGGACCCACACGTACAAAAATATTTATACCCGCTCTTTCTGTGGTGGCAAAGAATTGGAAATTGAGGGGATGCCCATCAATTGGGAAATGGCTGAACAAGGTGTGATATATGAATGTAATGGAATACTATTGTGCTATAAGAAGTGATGAGCAGGCAGACTTCAGAAAATCCTGGAAAGACTTGTATGAACTGATGCAGAGTGAAGTGAGCAGAACCAGGAGAACGTTATACACAGTAACACGTTGTGCGATGACTAACTTTGATAGACTTAGCTCTTCTCAGCAATACAAGAATCTAAGACATCTCCAAAAGTCTCATGATGGAAAATGCTATCCACATCCAAAGAAAGAACTATGGAGTTTGAATGCAGATTGAAGCATACTATTTACTCTTTTTTTTCTTCTGTTTTGTTTTGTTTCCTCTTTCTTATGGTTCCTTCTATTGGTTCTAATTCTTCGTCACAACATCACTAATGTGAAAATATGTAAATAGGAATGTATATGTATAGCCTATATCAGATTGTGCACCATCTTGGGTAGAGAGGTGGGGAGGGAGAGGGAGAAAAATTTAAAACTCAAAAGCTTATGGAAGTGATTGTTGATAAATCAAAATAAATTAATATATAAAAAAAAGAAGAAGCCAAAAGGGAGGCAGTAGTACCCAGCATGGGGAGGGCAGAGGAGTGGAACCAGGTGGGAAATGATGAGATGGCTCCCCTGGGTGCTTCTTTAAATGGAGGATATGGAAGGATTCTATCCTCCATCCTCTCCATTCTGAAGGAGGTAGAGGCCCCTGGACTAGGGGCACTAACAAAGTCTAATTTTCAGAGTTGAAGTGATCTCGTAGGAAGATCCAGAGAACAGTGATAAAGGCATACAGTCAAGTAGGCTCTTTGGTGCCTAAGAATAGGAAAAGCAGTCTTCTCACTGATCAGACATCCCAAGTATCCCCAAAGGAGATACCTGAACAATGAGAGATTGTGAAACCATGCCATGTACACATCTTTGGAAGGAAATGGGAATATTTAGACCAGAGAGGATTTACCAGGGCAGAATAACTGTCTTCAGATATTTGAAGGCCTCTCACAGGGAAGAGACATTAGACTTAATTTTGTTTGGCTACATAAGATCACTGAATAAAAGCTACAGGGAAGCAGATTTCAGTAGCAAATCTCTTAAAAGTTGCTGTTCAGAAATGGTGAGGTCTCTTATAAGGTAATGAATTCCCTGCCATTAATGAAAGGGGATTTTATAGAGGGGATTCATGAATCTAGGTTCCTCAGTGGATAAAGCACTGGACCACGAGTCAGGAAGGCTTAGATTCAAATCCAGACTCAGACACTTCCTAGCTGTGTGACTCTGGGCAAGTCACTTAACCTCTGTCTACCTCAGTTTCTTCAACTGTAAATGGAGATAATAATAATATCTACCTCTCAGGGTTGTTGTGAGGATCACAAAGATAGTCTGCACTTAGCATACTGACTAGCACACAGTAGACACTTAGTAAATGTTTCTTTTCTTCCTACTTTTATGGATTGGGAACAGGGCAAGACTAGGTAGGTCTGTGAGAGCCTTCCAAGTCTGAAATTCTAAGATTCCATGAGTCTTGGGATCATAAACTATTACAGCTGAAATGGAATTTAGAAATCTTCTAGTCTAAACTTTCTCTCTCTCCTAATTATATTGAAGAGGAAAGCATGCCTAAGATCATACAAAGCAGAGACTAGAATCCAGACTGAAAGATTCCCAGTCCAAGGCTCATTCTCATTTACCATGAGAGTGTGTGTGTGTGTGTGTGTATGTGTGTGTGTTCATAAAAACTTATATGTATATATGTAAACTGGATGTGAAATGTAAAAGAGATAAATATAAGGTCCCACACTTGGACTAAAAAAATCAGCTTCAATAACACAAGCTACAAAGAAGGATGTTAGTGGATTACAAGATCCATTTGAGTCACTAATGTAATAGAGGAAGCAAAAAAGTTAATCTAATTGTAGCCTGCCTTAATTGAAGCATGGTTACAGGAGGAATGGAAGTGACAGTCCTGTGATACTCAGCTCTGTTGTGACCACACCTGGAGTGTTGCATTCAGTTCTAGGTCCCCAACATTATGAAATATTTTTGCAAGCTGGGGGAGGGGAGATCGGTAAAGGGATTGGAAGCTATGCCAACAGAGCATCAGTTGAATTATCTGGTATCTATAGTAAGGAGGAGAAGACTGAGGGGGACACAACAGCTCTTTTCAGGTATTTGAAGGGTTGTCACAAGGAAGAGGAATTGTATTTGTTGTGCTTGGCCTGACAACTCAGAATTAGAATTAGAGGGGAAAATTCTCAACAAATAGAGCCATCTCAAAATGGAATTGGCTACCTTAGGAGATAGTGATTTCTTTGTTCCATCAGAGGCTCAGTGGTCACTTACCAGGGGAATTTTAGAAAGGAGTAAGGCTTTGGGTAGGGGTTAAACTGGATTGCCTCTGAGATGGGATACATCCACAGCTGGTAAAATACTGATGCTTATTTGCTACATCCTTCATAATTCTCACAACCACCTTAATAATTCTTATTTTTTTCCAAAGGGAAATAATACATACTTCAATGCCCACCATCTTCTTATCTGTTGAGGAAAAAAAATAATCACATGCAATTTATCAGAAGCCCCAACCACACCCCAGGTGCGATACCAAACACAGAATAAGACCCTCTCCCTGCCCAGGAAGCCCACAGTCTGAAATCTTAATCATGTCCTTTGTATCTTGAGCACCATAGGAACTTGAAAATTTTCACTAACAGGCTTTGTATCTTTGAAGTATTTTCCCAGAGTCCCTCCGGTGGCTAATGGCCACACACAGCAGTTTGAGCCAGCAAAGAAGCTGATCCTGCATTTCACGCAGAAAAACCGCATGAATCCTGAGAATGACATCAAAGGAGTGATGCCCGGTGAGTATGTGCATACGTAGGGAGGCAGCCATGTGAGAATCTATCTATGGAGCCTAACATACCAGAACTCAATATCCCAACAGTTCCTAGATTTCCTTTCACTGGTGTGTTTTATTAAGTAGCTTCCATTGCCAGCCAAATATTCCCACTTTATTTGGCCTGGATCTGTTGAACAGAAATAATAATAATAATGTCCCCCTAAGCAACCTGAAAGTGGGTTGAAATCCTCCCAAACTATGGTGGGCTTTGGATATTGATTGGACATGCTAATGAAAGAAATTGACTTTGGCTATAAAAACAGCAAACAAAGGTTCAGAAAATTAATTACTACCCTAGTATAAATCTGGCCTTTCAGGTAGGGCATTCTATAGAACATGGATGTAAAATCCTTGACCTACAGTCTTGTCACTACTCTCTAAGTCACCTCTGACCATAATCATACTTTGGAATTTAATCTTCAGGGTCCACAGTCTTCAGCCATCTCTTTTTTTCTTAAATGTAACCTCCTAAGATTACCCAGAGTATTTTTTTATTGTAACCATTTCTAACCAAAAAACTGGGAACAGTTTTCTTTTTCTTTGCCTTCTCTTCCTTTCTGGGATCTCTGCCCTCAGGTAGAAGTATTCTTTGTATCCAACCCAGATTTTTTTAAGGAACCCTGGTCTGGGAGGGAGGGGGGTGTCTATGAAGTCAAAATTATTTTCATAATAATATCTGTGTTTTAATTTCAAATTTGGTTAATATCAATAGATATAATCCACATAAATAAAAACTTCTTAGGGGTGGGGAGAGCAGGGTGGGGAAAGCAGGGTGGGGAGAGTATTTCTTCAATAATGTTTTAGTATGTAAGGGGATCTTGAGACCAAAAAGTCTGACAACTACTTACCTAAACCAGTGCCTGACCCTGGGTCTGTCCTGGCCTTAAATTAAAAGCCTCCAATTTTACTTCGATGTTTTACCAGCTGTGTAACCAGTTGGAAACATGTTGCAATGTATAGTTTAGGGTCATGGATCACAGGGTCAGAGATTTAGAAAAGGGAACTTAGAGGTTGTCTAATCCAACCCCCTCTCATTGTACAGATGAGGAAACTGAGGCCCAGGCACATAACTTGCCATGGTCACATGAGCAAAATTTGAACACTGTTCCTCTGACTCCAGAGCTAGAGTCCTTTTTGAAACCTGGCATATGACTTACTGAATCCGAGAAAGTAAATTCAGATGTTGCCCATGAATCCTAAAGACATGAAAACTATATCTTAAGTGGCCAAAAAAAAAAGCCTTGTCTTCCTCTTCAGAAGTAGAATAGTACAGAAGAAGGAGTACTGAATTTGGAGTCAGAAGATGTGGGTTTAAATCCTGACTTTGCTATTAACTATATATGCAACCATATGTAAGTTGTTTAACCATCCTGAGCTTTAATTCCACTTCTGTAAAATGAGGAGATTGGACTCAGTAACCTCTGAGGTCCCTTCCAGCTCTGGATCTCTGGATCACTCCTAGGTCAGACTTCATGATAGCAGGCAACTCAGCCAACGAGTAATAATTTGGGGGAACCTACTTCAAATGCTCTAGCCTTTCTGGAATGGAGGTATGTGCCACATGTAGGGATATCTGTGTGAAGAGCAATAAAAAATTCACATAACTCTTAAGGAGTCAAGTAGTATCTCTTGTGTGCTGTGTACAGTAAGAGATCTGAGAAAATGGAGAAGGAATAGCACTGACTTCACAAATGCTTCTTAATAGAAGCATTAATCTCCTTGAGGGTAAGGACTGTTTTGTCTCTTTCTTTGTCTCTACAGTGCCTGGCATTTAGTAGGGACTTAATAATTACTTGTTGGTTGATGGATTGATTCCTACATAGTCTGGGCTGAGTGATCACAATGATTCCTTCCACCTCTGGGATTCTATTCATTTAACATGCATTTACTAAAGGACCAACTCTATTGTGAACCACTATATGAGAGATGCTGACAAAATATAAAGTTTAGATAAGATATAATGTCTCCGATTTTATGCAACAACAACAAAAAAAAACAACTAAAAAAGCTAAAGTAGTTGACTTTTCTCATGGTTTTCAGAAGATAGGTAGGAGTGATGTGGGGCAAGTATATGTATCCACATGGGTATGTACAGCAGCGCTCTTGGGATTTTGGACACATGTGAGCATCTATGTCTCTATTACCTTCTGGTAGCAACCTGCTCATTTGGACAATGAAGAACTGAAAACAATGTTTTGTTTTCCATTGAGGTCCACTTGACATTTCCAAGGAGTTCTTCCTAAAAATCAAGCACTTAATCTGTTATCAGAACTAATTCCAGTAGTTCTAAAAAAAAATGTCACTTTCCTTTTGGACTTCTAAGACTTGAAGCAAAATTCCCTTTGGGGTATTTGCTTAACTAAATTATCACACCCCACTTACTAGTCAAATTTTAAAAAAAAACTTTTCCCCCTTTGATCTTAATTGTGCCATTATATTTCCCTTCTTTATTGTAAGAAAGTGGTATCATGACTTTTTTCCCGTGTGATTGTTGCTCACATTTATTTATATTCAGATGTAGCAGGGAGAGACTTGAGAGAAAAAGTATCTTTGTATGTGTGACTTATGAAAAGGGAACAAAAGATGTCTATCTCCTTTAAAGTGGGGGGAGGGTGGCATTTCAGTATTGGCTCTATAAAGCCTCATGTTCCACATTGGCTTCTTGAGCTCTCTTTGCCCACCAGCTGTTAGTCACCTTTGTCAGTTGTGCCATTTCAACATTGTATTGCCTTGCTTTGTGGGGAAAGACCACATCTGTTTCACCTTCTAAACAGCTGCGTATTCTAGCTTGCTTTCTTTGCCTAGGTTTCTTTTCTCCTGCTAAACTATCTCCCAATAGCTCAGACCAAATATAGTCAAAAAATGTTTGTCATGTGGAAACCAGCAGTGAGAACCCAAATAATTGTGTAGCCAATTATGTCAACCAGTGTCTTATATCTTATGTATACACACATACAAACACACATGTATGGGCCCCAGCCTTGGTAGGCTGTTTTACTTCTAGTCCATAATAATGCCAAAATGGAAAATCAGGGACTCAGTGTTTCCACTCTTCTGTTTTTCTCAGGTTGTTCTAAGTGTCCTTGGATTTCCCCTTAGAACCTGTCTGATTTGTTTTTGAACATTTCAACACAGTCCTTTGAGTTAGCACTGTGACTCAATCATCATATGCCACAGCATGTGTACAGGTCTCACCTGACTCTGCAATAATGCCAACATGAAGCTTTCTACTGGAATTCCTGTCACTGGCTTTGCTTGTTCCAGTCAGAAATGTGTAGACTGTAATCAAATGTCATGACATAACCTAGCTGTGTGACTAGATAGCCATTCACTCTGTGGTTTGATGGATATTTGTAGGCATTCCAGATGGGCATATTGAGGGAAAATGGGAAAGGAGAACAGTATTGGCCCCAAATATCAAATGTTTGGATAGATTTTTAAGACTGAGGTCCATATGGTTGCTAACTACTTCTTGCTTCCAAAGAAGGCCTGTTCTACCATTTAATTACTTCTATTTCTAAATCTAGAGCTGAGGGGGTGAGGGGGTTGGAGGAAGCCAATAACTCTTTGAGTTTACTTATAAATGTGGGTTTTTTTTTTTAATGTTCAGTGCCTCAAGGAAGGACATAAAAGCTGATTATTTCCTACAGAGTCTAAAAATCCAATAGTTTATGAGCCTGAAATGCCTTAAAGACTTTTGGGAAAAGGATATGACTCTTGTGGCATACTTTCAAAAGAACTATGATGGTTCCTCCCAGGCCTTATCTTGAGTGGACTGCAGCTGCTTTCTGCCCTCTGGCCACATCAGGGGACAACTGGCTGGCGGTCTCACCACCTAGTCCTTCAGGCCCTGGACAGATCCCATGCTTCCCTCTGGAGCATTCTCAGGTAAGCCCTTTCTTAAGAGCCACAATGTCCTTCTCGAGTCAATAGTGTGCTCTGGGGCATCCCTGAAGCAAGGCAAACAGATCGGCAAGCTAGAGCAGTCGCACCAGGGCAAGGACTATATCCTTCCATTGCCTTGGTTCCTTCCAGGTAATAAAGATTCAGAATTGCACAGTGATGTTGGGAGGAGGGAAGGGAACAGAAATGACTTATCTACCCTAGAGTACAGAAACAGCATGCTTAGCAGGGCAAGAGACTACACTAGAAAAATGGACGTACTGTCCTCCCTACACAAAACAGGCTCAGCATGTTAGAAAGGGAGTTCAATTTTGATTTTTTTCCTGGTAACTCTAAATCAAATTATTTTCTGTTATGTGTGGTAAAGAAAAGGGGAAAGCATGAAGTGAAGAGGTAGTTTCAGGTTTTTCACTGAAGTTTGTACAGACTGTTATCTTTAATACTTTTAACACTGTGTATCCTAGAAAAGCCCTTATTTTCTAACATTGCCAAGTGAAAAACCTAGCTCTCTAGACCCTGAGTTGTTTCAATGACATGAAGAATACAGGATGTCTGAACTTCCCTGCCTCCTCTCTCCCATCCCCCTCAGGAAAAGAGTCTGTTAACTCCAAGGAAATACACAAATTATGATCTTAGAAAATGGTGATGTGGGTGCTACAGGGCCCTACCATGACACCAGTGGCCCCAGAAAGAATAAAAACTTGGAAAATTATATTTGGGCTTGTCTGGTTCCTTTTATTGACTACAGGCAGCCCCCAGTTTCGCATTTCTGGGTGCTATTGCTAACCCAAAAAAAAAATTCAGGACATTAATGTACCAAGCATTCTTTTAGTATCTACTGTGTGTGAGGTACAGTGGTAGAGACTTAAGACACAAAGATATGTGTGTATACAAAAATATAATACAGATCTCACTGTCAGTGAAGCTTAGACTGTGGTAGTAGGGAGATTGGGGTAAGTGCAGGGAAGAGCTGTAGCAGTGTACTAGGAGAAATTTGAGGTAGGAAAGACCACTTTCACTGGAGAATCAAAATACTGCTGTTACTTTAACAAAATGAAA